GGCTTTCCTGAAGTCAAGGACTTGTGCGTTGCTGACCGACTTGCCAGCTTTTCGGCGGATGGTGAAGGTGATCAGCTCGTGGTCGCTGTCACCCAGCTTCCCATCGATCACTAGGTCGCCGACTAGGTCATCCCCAGTAGCCAGTACCAGGTCGAGCAGCGCTTTGCCTCTCGTTGGCCCATAGACTTCTTGAGTCAGGTAGAGGTCATCCACGCACGAGAGGAAGCTCTGCGACCGCTCAGATTTTGCTGAGCGATCCTCCCATGAGATGTCTGGGTAATTGAAGTCACCCATGACAACCATGGTCCTGGAGCAAGCTGCCTCAGCCAGTTCCTGAGCAAACTCCTGGTCAAGCTCAGGACTTTGGGTGGGAGGTCTGTAATAGACTCCCACCATTGTGTCCCCTGTGCCCTGTTCCCCACGGATTTTAACCCAGAGGGTCTCCAGCCGTCCACCCTGGTCGCCAATATCGGCTTGCAGGGACGTGTAGCTTTCCTTAACATAGAGAGCTACCCCCCCGCCCCTTTTCTCTACACGATCCCTCCTGTACAGGGTATAGCCATCTATCCCCGTGGTCCAGTCATGGGTGGAGTCCCACCAGGTCTCCGTTATCCCTATGACATCGTAATTGTTTGCACTGAGCATGAGGATGAGCTCCTCCTGCTTATTCCCCAAGCTCCTGGCATTAGTGTACAGGCAGGCAAGTGCCCCCTGGGGGGCTCCTTCCTTGCACACAGATTTTACCAGGGCTGGGGCAGGGGTGGGCTCCCTAAAGTGCCGTGATCTGCTGGCTTTGCAAGGATTGCTCAGTGGGCCAGCAGTGGCAGTAGTCCCCCCATCCCCCAACCGGCTTAGTTTAAAGGCCGGTGGAGCAGGTCAGCCAGTCTGGCTGAGAAGAGCCTCCTCCCTAGGGGAGAGAGGTGGAGGCCATCTCTTCCCAGCAGCTCGCTGCCTCTCTCACCAGAGAGCGTGCTGTGGTCATGAAAGCCAAAGCCTTCCTGACGGCACCAGCACTGCAGTCTTTGGTTGACTGTTTTCTGGACAATATGCACATTTCTTCCTGACAGAGAAGCTGCCTACTCGGCTCACACCCGAACAACCCCAGCTGCACCATACTGCCCCCCACCTCCAGCCTAACCCTAAACTTGACCCATCAGCCCCTTTCCCATGTCTCGGCAGCCTCCCAGCACAGACTCTACAACTCCATCCAATTTAGTGTCATCCACACATTTGCTAAGTGTGCACTCAATCCCTTCATTCAACTCATTAATTAAGATATTGAAAAGTACTGGACCCAAGATGGTCCCCTGGGGAGCCCCACTTCATACCAGCTAGATATTGAGTCATTTATTACTACTTGTTGAGCACAATGATCCAACCAGTTACATATCCACCTTACAGTGTATTCATCTAGTCTGTATTTCCTTATCTTGTTTTGAGAATACTGTGGGAGACAGTGTCAAAACCACTGCTAAAGTCAAGTATCACATCCACTGCTCTCCCCTCCATCCACAAAGCCTGTCACCAATATCATAGCCTGTCACCTTATCATTCACAAGTCTACTTATACTGTACAGTCTCTGGGGGGGTAGACTGTTTCTTACATGCACACACACTACCTGTGCCAGGTGCAGCTTTTGCGTGCTACTATTTCAATACATATTTGTTCTTATGCTCCAAGACTATCCTTGGGATCTCAGTATTGTCAGACAATACAACAACTGTTGCACAAAATCCTTCTTATGGCACATATAGCATTATGTTAAAGGGTGTCCCAGCCATAACACCTCTGTATTCAAATGTCTGGTGAAGTGAGCAACATGTTCGTACTAGGCCTGTGTGAATAGGGAAGTATTTGATTCGTATTTGGATTTAGCCAATTCAGAGGACAGTTATTCGATTCGGATCCCTTGTCCTGAATTGATTTGGCTGAATCAGCTTCAGAAGATTCAGCCCTGATTGGGAGAGGTTTGGTGATTCAGATTGGCCAGGGAGAGGCAGGCATAGCCGGGAAGTTGCAGGTTCTC